ATCTTTCTAAGTTTGAAGCAGTCTACCATTACTTGGTATCGCCTTGCCTTCCTGTCCATTAGAAGGTTCTATACCTATGCCATTTATTCCCTCTTTTATTGTTTTGATGTTGTTGTCATTTATTGATTAACTGCTCTGATTCCCTGTTGTATTTCTTTTGGTTTTGGATAGTCCTCGAGAGTTCATTTCCTAGATTGGTATGAAGCCAGGATTTTTTATAGATTGCAGTCTCCTCAGTTTAATGATCCAGATGCAGTTGTATCATTGTCTTACACAGATTAGGGTTTGTTGCTGTAATTAAGCATAGGGCTTTCAAATTGAGCTGAGATCGAAATTAGGTTGAAGTTTGGAGGTTTGCATATTTTGACTGTAACTCTAACCCATGCCAAAGAAATAGCTTAATGCTGCTCAGATGATTCTCCTACTCTTTTTCCTCCCACTATTTTCTAGCAGAAAATGGTGACAATTTTCCACTTTGATTACGTGATATGTGGAAGAGAGCCCTGAGGAAATCTGACCCATCGAAATATTCAGAGAAATCATTTGGGTCTAGTCTTATACTTTTTAGAAATAAAGGGTAGACTATTCTGACTTCAGGAGTAAAGGTATCATATAGTAGGCATGAAACAAAGGTCACAAAGATAATTTATTTACTAGCATAATAATCACCCAGTTCTTGAAACATTTCTTTCCACCATAGGATCCAAAAGAACGATTGGGTTGTCATCCTCAAACAGGATTTGCTGATATTCAGGGACACCCATTCTTCCGAAATGTTGATTGGGATATGGTATGTAAATTTTGATTGCTTGCTGTATTAGATTACGTTATTATCTTGGCCAAATTTTACCACGCTGGGCCAATTTTTTTTTCTTTTTTTTGTTACAGACTGAAGTTTATTTGTGGTTACCAGGGGCTGCTCGGAAGGATGTAGGGGAAATCATTGTTCACAGATCACTGAGTTTCTCGTTGGGCCAATTTTTATTATCAAATGAATGTTAAAAAACTAATGTATTTTAGCTGAAATGACTTAAAACCAGTCTCTAAAGTACTTTTTAAAGAACTTTTAGAACAAACAAAAACTTAGAGTATTAATGTAATGGTGTAGGTTGTAATATTAATGAGGCCTATGCCAGTGTTCAGATTTGTAAATTATGTCCGGCATTGTTAATATTGTAGAACCTTGCCCTCGGTCTCAGTTTTGACTTGATAAGACTGGGAAATATCTGAGGGCAGAGGAGAAATGTAAAGGCAGAATTTTTCTAAGAATGCAGGCTTGAGCTGTCATCCAATATGTCTTTTTAGATGGAGCAAAAGCAGGTGGTACCTCCCTTTAAACCAAATATTTCTGGGGAATTTGGTTTGGACAACTTTGATTCTCAGTTTACTAATGAACCTGTCCAGCTCACTCCAGATGATGAGTAAGTAATTCTATACACTGAAATATTTTTAAAGTTTTTTGAAAGCCCCATTTTTAGTATAATTATAATGTAATTGATCTAACCATTAAGTTATTGGGTATTTGAATGTATTATGCTATTATAAATTACAACAATAACTGCCATTTATTTCCTACTATGCTTTACATGCAGTATCTCTAATTCTCACAACAACCCTAGAAGGTTGTTATTGTCACCTTCATTTTACAGAGGAAACCGAGGCTCAGGGAGGTTAAGGAAAGTTTCACAGCTGTCAGGTGGCAGAGTCAGGATTCAAACCCAAGTGTGACTAAGGCTGTTCTCTTTCCCTCTGCTGCACGGTTTCCCGTTTTGACAATGACCATCTTTGAGCCCCTGAGTATTACCTTAAGATAGATTCCTAGAAAGGGAATTGGGTCAAAGGGTTTGAAATTTTTAAAGCTTGCTTTAATTTTTAATTTTTAAAACTTGCTTTTTCAAAAAATTACATGAATTTATCAAGTCCCACAAGCAGTGATTGAAAATATTTTTTGTGTTTATGTTGCAGCTTTTAAAAATACAGGTTAGAATAATTTGGAGATATTATGATCATTTGCCTATCATTACAGATTCATTCTCATCTCAAGGGGATCCATTAGGCAGTCATTTTACTTATATCTTGTTCATACTTATCACATTCCTCACAGCAGCTGTTGCAAACTGTCTCAATGTCTTAGAAACCTTCAATCCTGTGCCTCCCTCCGTCATTCTTAATGGATTAACCTTGCCTTTAACTGACTGCAAGGACTGAGACCTGTCTGCTCCCTTTCCAACTCTAACCAGACCACCGTGCATCTCAGAATTGTTGTCTAACTCTTCTCAGCCTTTGTCATCTTCCCTACTCTTGGAAGAGTATCCCTCTTATGCGAGGGGTGCCCCTGCTGTTTTCCCAGATCCTCTGTTGTCTGCAGGATTCCACTGTGTCAGTTACCTCACTGCTCTGCCTTCTTTAATCTCTTTTCCACTTTCTTTCCTTCTGCCTACAAACATACTCAGATATCTTTTATCCTAATTTTTCCCCCTTTATTTTAGCACCTCTTAGACCATCACATTTTTCTTTCATTTCAAGCTTTTTTTTAGAAAGAGTTAATAGAATGCCAGTGGTAAAAGAAAAATAAATAAGCAGTATCTCTGTCAAGCTCCTGTAGTCAACATTGTCTTATACTTTCTCACTGCCAGCACTTGAACTCCTTAAAATTTAATCTGCTCCTTCAGCTTTTGAATGTTGAATTGAGTTCTTAATTTCTAGATTTAAAAGCATTTTTTGTCATTCCTCATCTTCCCTGATGTACTCAGGGCCTTGATGTCCTGGTTCTGCTTCATCTGTGTGACCGCTGTCATCTTTTTTTCCCCATCACCTTGAGGCCAGGATGCTCCGTGGTTCTGTTCATGACAGCCTTCTCTTTGCGATGTGCATTTTGTGCCTTGGAGATTTCAGCCAACCTCATAGCATAGATACTAGCTATTTGAATGACTTCCAGCTAAACCAGCAGTTACTGAGCAAAAGACACTATGCTAGGTACTGGACATTCAAATCTCACATAAAGCATACTGCCTAGTAGAGGAGAGAGATATGTAACAAATCTTTATTTCTGATGGCGTGGTGTATTATAAAGAGCACTTGATTTAATCAAGAGATAGGACTTTGAATCCCAGCTTTACCTCTTATCAACTGGGTAACGTCTGGTGTGAATTGCATAGCTTCTCTGGGCCTATTTCTTCTTGTATCCCCTACCTCACAAGGTTGCTGTGAAGAATAAATGAGAGATGGTTTCCAAAGCATGTAGCCCCAGCCGTGTCCCCTCTCCTGAGCTGCATTTCCATCTGCTCGCTTAACATCTCCCCCAGTTTGTCAAACAAGCACCTCAAATATAATGTGTCTAAAATCAAAGTAATGACCCTTTATGGTCTCTTTTTCTGTTCTCAGTCAATTCCTTGTTTTTATTTACCTATTTCTGTTCATTCTACCACCATGTATCCCTGTCATTTAGGTTCAGTGTTTAAGTCATTGTTGACTCCTGCTTTTCCTTGACACACTGTACTACCTTGAGCTGTCAGCTTGCCTATTTTTAATTCACGTACATCATATGCTTCTTTTCCATTCTCATTGCTGTAACAGCAGTTAAAGTGTCTTTCATATTGTACCTAGGATATTGCACCAGCCTCCTAACTGGTCTCCTTCACTCCTCTTTACTTTGCAGCCTATTCTGCACACCTTGTAAAGTAACACTTGAATTCTTCAGCTCTTTTAATCAGAAAACTTCAGTAACTCCTACGTTGCCAACCAGATAAAATCTATCATCTGGGCTGGCATTAAGGTTCTAGCCATATCTCTCACTATACTCTAACACAAGTACTGCGTCCTCATCAGTCTCAGTTACTCACTGTTTCTTGAGTTTGCTGATACCTTTGCTCATGCTGTTTCCTCTGTTCCTCCATCATTTTTACCTGTTGAAATCTTCCCCATCTTTCAGAGCCAACTGAAATGCAACCTAATGAATCAAGTTGAAACTCCTTTGTAAACATCACTGACGTCTTTGATCTAGCATCACCTTCCTTTCCAGCATCATTTGCCATTTAACAGCCTTCTATTTCTATCTTCCAACTCTAATAAATTACTTGCATTTCCCCAGACCTGCCATAATCTTTCATAATTCTATTCAGTAAATGTTTGTGGAATGAACTCTGCCTTCTTTGATTTCTCAAACTGAAAGTTACTCTTTTCTTTATTGCTGTGGTTAGAACAGGACTTAATTTGACCTTTATGAAATTTAGCACATACTGGTTCTCTTGTAGCTTTTTGGTTTATGAGTTACTCTTCCTCTTTTTGAAAGAAGGGACTATATCCTGTGTAACTTCGTGCTCTGCAGTATGGCATATACATTGAAGTATTAAAATATTGGATACTACTCACTCTTATTTTATTTTAAACTAGAAGCCCAGTGTAATAGAATGCCAGCTTCTCCATTCCTTGTGACCCATATCTCCATGTGGCGTCTCTTCTTATTCCAGGTCTCTCAGTGTATTTGTTCCTGTTGCCTTTTCTTTTGGCTCACTTCTGGGCCTTCTCTTCACCATCTTCCATCTGGCTGTTGAGGTCACTACTAAGTTGAATGCTAATTCAGACCTGGGTGCTCACTTATAATTAAAAATATTGTTCAGGTCAAAAGTTTAAGATTAACTGGATTGTGATGACCTGTGCCTTTTTTGTTTTCAATCTTTGAACTGCCTTTTGGTTCTAAGCTTGCTTGTGGGATAAACAGTCTTTTTTTATTTTTAGTACTTTTTGATTCTTTTAGAAAATGTTTTGGGATTGACCTAAGAACTTGCAATATCTTCCCCTATAATCTGTATTTTATTAGCCTCATTTTCTGTTGTTTAATCTTAGTTTATCGTTTAAATAAAAGGTTGAAGAAATCTTGATTATGAAGACAAATATATGTTTCTTTCAACAGTGACATTGTGAGGAAGATTGACCAGTCTGAATTTGAAGGTTTTGAGTATATCAATCCTCTTTTGATGTCTGCAGAAGAATGTGTCTGATCCCCATTTGCCAGCTATGCATTTTACTTGTCTTGCCATTTAATGCATGGGTAAACATGTTACCAGACTGGGTACAATGGTACAGATTTAAAAACTAACCATTTGACATTTGCCGCCTATGGAAAAGCACTCAGTATCTTCTGTTGTTGACTGTAAGAGTTAATTATTATATCTAAGCTTAACTATGAAAAAAAAAAAAATTAGTTTCCAGACAGTCAGTCATCCCAAAATTTAGTTGTAATGCTTCTTCAGTGACCTGCTTCAGAGTTACGAAGTTATCTCTTTTGTTAAACGAAATACTTGCCACTGCTTTAAAAGAGAGTATCTGAGGCACATAGTGGGATTACATCATAAGCTGCCTACAGTTTCTGTTATTGTTTAATTTTGAAATAAAAGATTAATTCAAAATACACCTTTTTATGTTACCTATTAGTTTCCAAGTTGTTTATGTTTAAAAATTCTACGGGAAATCCTGTCATTGCCCTGGATAATTAAGCTACTGATTTTAAGGTAACAGTTATTAAATTGACTGATAATAAAAGGTGTTGCCTGCATAGAATTGGAGAACGCAGATTCTCCTTGAGTAAAAAGATAGACACATTTTATTAAGAATCAGATTCTAAATCATTAGCTATTTTTAAGAAACTGTCACAAGTGATTTTTTAGTATAAGGGAGTAACTTCTGAGCTTGTTCCTTTAGCCAGAACTTTAACTGGGAAGTTAATAAATGTAGCTCAAAGGACTCAGGATGCGATTGAAAGAGAATTTCTCAGTATATGGAAAGGAAAAAACAGAAATTTAAAATAGATACAGAAAAGTATAATAGTACTATTTATTTCTTATTGGAGAGTAAATTCCACCGTTGCTTCACGTAATTTGATTTAAATAATGAGGAGCCACTCACTTGTGAAAGCATTCCATTTATTTAGGGGAGGCAGAATGTATAATATTTTTTCCTGATAATTTAGTGTATAGGAAAATAATTTATCTTCCAAGTAGACTGTCTTAACTGTACTCATTTATTCACAAAAAAACCACATTGTCCATACTTTTGGACCCTATTTATGGAGTTTTCATTGAAATTCATGAATAAATGTTCAGGACACACATCCACCCACTCACAGTTCCCCTCAAGTGCATTTGTATTAAGTAGGTAACACATGCAATGTGGAGTAGAAACATTTTAGGGGCAGAGTTTCAGACTATTTTTTATTAATATTAGTGTTTAGCAGTTTCTTATTTAAAGGGATGCCAGATATAGCATCCTTCTCTTCTTTATTTTAAATAATTTTTTTTTTATGAAAAGGGACTTAAGAAGTAACTATCATTGTCTAAATTAGTTACAATTGTTGAATCTTAGTAAATTTAAATTTTAGGGAATGCTGTCTAGTCTTAAATTTAGAATGAGTTAAAAATTATGGGCATTTAATAAACTATCCTTTTTTGGAAGCTATATTTTGTTAGAAATGTAATTTTTCCAGAGTTTCAGGCCATGTATTCTCTTTTCTTCAGATAACTAGGTCTGAAAGCAATGAAAATCTCAAAGGAAAATGTTTATATGTAATCACATGTTCATTTGACAGGTATATATATATGTTTCTTTTTAATACCTGAAACTTGTTTTAAAACAAAAAGCAGTATTTCACTTCAAGTCATAAACTTAGAACTCTGACATCTTATGTCAGAAATAAGTTTATGATCTTGCTTTTAAGTGATGCTGTTTTTCCTAGGGCATTACCTCTCAAATTTTAGAATGTGGAACAGTCACCTAGGGAGTGTGTTTAAAGTGCACATCACTGGGCCCAGTGTAGAATTCCAGTGTGCCTTTAGACCTCACTTTAAGAAACACTTCTGTAGAGTTATTCTTTTCTTTGTCCTGTGGTTAAATATTAGAAAGTGTATTCATAATAAAACATTTTGAGGCGGGATAAGCAGTGAGTTACTACCTTATCCACAATTTTAAACAAATTTTGAATGACTTGAAGTTAGATAATCTTCTCCAAACAAAATCAGTTTTCTACTGATTTTCTAATGTTACAAATGATGGACATTTTTCTATGATGAGGTTTTAACCATTATTCAGGTTTTTTTTTTTTTTTTTTTACATCTTTTTTTGACTAATAAGATTTAATGTGTATATTTTAAACAGAATTACATTACCACTATGTTTTTAATTGTATTCTGTTTTTGCAGTCTTTAAGTGCCATGCCAGTTCTTTGTATATTATAAAGTAGTTCTCTCAAAATACTCACCAGGGAAATAAGGCAGTTTGATGGTCAGATTGGTTGGAATTTCGGTGTTATTAAGAAAAAATGTATTTTGCATAAGCATGGTGTTTGTGATCAGATCATTTTATGTGTACGCAGCCTGGATTAGAAACCAGGTATTATGCTTGTTCAGTACCGGTACATTTGCATTTTTAATTTGTTTGTTTTTTGTTTTTGTTCTGTCATGTAGAATACTGCCTTGATCATCATAATGTAATCTGGATTTGCATAACTTTTTTTTTTTTAAATAAAATATTTAATACCCAACTAGAGTGGAACATTTTTAATATGTAGCAGATCAGAAATTTAGATAAGAACAAACTTACATCAAAATTTGTTTAAGAAGAAAAATGAAAACTTTAGAGTTCGGAATTTTGCTGTACTTGAAGCAGCATTCTGGTAGCGATGATGCTATCTATATTTTAGACATTCTCTCAGAAATCAAAATATTCTCCAGTGTATTTTTAATCTCACCTTTCCATGCATCTCTTCTAGTGGGAAACAAATTACCAAAAAATCAGCGAAACACCATCTTAACTGGTTTTAAAACTGAAGCAAATTTAAACAGGTTCAGAACAGATTTTTTTTTTTTTTAATTGTACTTCAGGTGAAGGCTCACAGAACAAATAGTTTCTCATGAAACAGTAGTACACATATTGTTTTATGACATTGGTTAACAACCCCACAACATGTCAACCTTCTAACTTCTCAACCTTTTTTTTTTTGTTGAAAATACACACAGCCAAAGATACACCATTTCAAAAATTTCTACATGCACAGTTCAGTGACATTGACTATGCTCTTCCAATTGTGCTGCTATTCTCACTTAAGATGAAGGCTTACAGAACAAAATCGTTTCTCATTTAACAGTTAATACACCTGTTGCCCTATGACAATGGTTAACAATCTCACAGCACATCAACAATATCCTTACTCAACCTTGGGTTCCCTATCACCAGCTTCCTTGTCCCCTCCTGCCTTCTGGCCCTTGTCACTGGACTGCTGTACCTCATTAGTCCCATTTGGTTTTACGGGGCTGTCCACTCCCAGGCTGAACGGTGAATCTTGGAGATAACTTCACCACTGAGCTAAAAGGGTGTTTGGGGGCCATACTCTCGAGGTTTCTCCAGTCTCCTTTAGGCCAGTAAATCTGGTCTTTTTTTTTTTCGTGAGTTAGAATTATGTTCTACATCCTTCTCCAGCTCTGTCCAGAACCCTGTGTTGTGATCCTGGTCAGAGTAGTCAGTGGTGGTAGCCGGGCACCATCCAGCTGTACTGGACTCAGTCCGGTGGAGGCCCTGGTAGCTATGGACCATCAGTCGTTCGGACTAATCTTTTCATTGTATCCTAGAACAGATTATTTTGAGATTAGATTGTACAGCTGTTGGTTCTGCTTTAGAGTTCCAGAACTACTACTTTTTCAATTGTAGCTAGTATCCGTATATAAGCAAATGTGAACCTGGTGTTACAAGTTATAGCCTTCTTTACCATAACTCATTGTTTTCTTCCTTTTACAAGGAGAAGGAATCTAAAGTACCTTTACTTTTCTCTTAATTGACTCATCAGAGAGCAAGGGCCTGTATATTAAACCACCTAAGGACTGATTTCCTGTGACTTCTCTATTATTTTATCCTAATCTCAACTCCTGCTTAAAATGAAGTTACAAGGCAACGTTAATGAAGTTTTGTCCAGGCTTCCTGTACCAAATCCTAAATTTGGTTGTTTTCTGTTAGTAAAGTCCCAAAACAAAGCCCAAAGACAAGCTTGAAGCTTTAGGGAAAGTTTGTGTTAAGGCAGTTAGCCACTGGGGCAACCAGTTTCTCCCTGAAATTCACCAGCTTGGCTTCTGGACAACACCCAGCAGTGAGCCATGTGGTATATTTGATGGCTCGATTTCGTAGGTTTACCCTCCTCTGGTCTGGGACTTTAAGGGATCACTTAGTTGTTCCAGAATTTTCTGGAAATGAGGAAAATGTTTCTGTTTAACAGATACTCCGAACATCCTTATCTCCCTGTCACAAAATCCTAACTTAAACGTCTGCCTCCATATTTTACTATTCAAGGTGCTAAGTAAAGCAAATAAAAAAGACTACTGTTGATATTCGAGATAGAGAATAGACATACTGGATGCTTATCTTCACAGCAGTCCAGTGATGAATGCCAAATGAATGCTGTGTGGTCATGATTGTTTGTTTATCAGCTTCACTGATGAAACTTGTCTGGGTTTTACTTGACATTGATATGTAATTGATCCATGGTAAATAGACATTTTTTACATTTATGGTAGATTCCCCGAAGCTTTCTGAATTCACATATACGCTATGAAATGAAGTATTTCATGCCTGTATATATATATATATATATATGTATGTATATATAAAAAGAAAACCCACTGCTATCGAGTCGATTGTGACTCATAGTGACCCCATAGGGTTTCCAAGGCTGTAAATCCACGGGAGTAGACTGCCACATCTTTCTCCTGCGTAGCCGCTGGTGGTTTGAACCACTGACCTTTCAGTTAGCAGTTGATCACTTTAACCACTGTGCCAACAGGGCTCTTACATGTATATATTAAAAAAAAAAAAAAAACACCCATTACCGCTGAGTCAATTCCAATTCATAGCAACCCTATAGGGCAGAGTACAATTGCCTCACAGGGTTTTCAAGGCTGTAAGTTGTTATGGAAGCAGATTGCCCCATCTTTCTCTCATGGAGCAACTGGTGGGTTTGAACCGTTGACCTTTTGGTTAGCAGCCGAGCACTTAGATGTATATATATATATACACATACACATGCACACACACACATATACACACCCCCCCATATTTTTACACAAATAACCCATGCCTTCTATGTTTGTTTGCCAACCGTTCCCTGCAAGATATTTTTGTAAGCACACTATGCTAATTTTTTTTTTTACAGCAACATGTAAAAAAAAATTGGCATTATGATACTTATGAAAATACCTTGTGGCGGGGGCGGGGCAAGTGGTTGGCAAACAAAGTAGAAAGTACATTATCTGTGTAAAAATACAGGGTGTACACACACACACATTATGTATAAGATTATTTTTGGCTTTTCTGCTGAGAAAAATGAGTTGGATTTTACAGGGGAATGGAAGAGAAAACTCAGATGCTTCTGCTTAGCCCTTGTACAATCCATCTCTGAAATTCATTAAAATGAGTCCAGCTCAGAATTTCAGATTTTGTATGTGAAATATAACAGTGCAATTGACTCTCATGTGGCAACTTATGCCTTACTGGCATTGAGATTGTATTTTTATTCCAGTTACCATTTTTAATGTTTTTTTTTTTTGAAAACTGAAATTACAAGTATTTAAAAATTAAGTGGCTCTTGAGTGTGATCTTTTATAGGATATCTGAATGTTAAAGCCCGGGCCAGATGGATTCACTAGACTTGAGTGAGTGTTAGCTCAAGTTTTTATTGACAGGTTAGCTGGTCCGAAGAAAATTCTAATTATGTAAGAAACAGCCTGTTGAAAGGCTGTATGGCAAAACCCTTAAAATATTAGATCCTTTGTTTTTTTCCAAAAACGAGAAGTGCTGAGTCTCTAGAAGTACTGCCTCTTAACCAGACTTTAAACTCATGTGACATAAACTTACCTGTAATGTGGGTATGTGGGTGACTACACCTGGTGACTTTTTACATTATTCATAACATATTTAGGAATAGAATCATGTAAAGGTAGTTAAGTCCAGAAACCTAATTCTAACTCAGATTTTATGGCCTTTTGTAGATTTTTTTTTTTTAATTCTTTTTCTAGGCACTCAAGATTTTTATTTAAAACAGCCTTGGGATTTTTATGCAAGGATGTGCATTTGTAAACCATTTTATTCAGGTGTAAGGAGTCCCTGGGTGGCACAAGTGGGTTAAGTTCGGCTGCTAACTGAAAGTATGGTGGTTTAAATCTGTCCAGAGGTGCCTTGGAAGAAAGGCCTGGCAATCTACTACTGAAAGTTCACAGCCATTGAAAACCCTATGGAGCACAGTTCTACTCTGAAACACATGGAGTCTCAAGGAGTCAGAATTGACTCTATGGCAGCTGGTTTGGTTTTAGTTTTATTCAGGTTCACCCAGTTTGCAATTTCCTAATGAGGAAATTGAATGTATGTGCCAAAGGCTTGATATTTTGCTAAATTATTCTTTAAGTTTTAAATTTTAATTCATGTACTGGAGGCTTTACAGTGTAACTAGCACAATGCTAATTCTGCAGGATTTAGAAAAGTTAATGTCTTAAAGAATCTTGGTGATACAAGGAATAAATGCATTCCAGAAAATCTGGCTTGAGTTTAAAAAAAAAACAGACAGTGTGTATGTTATCCCTTTAAATAGGAAACACTTTCCTGTGATTAAAATGAACAAAAAAACAACATTCCTCCCCAGTAGTGAGGTCTGAAAAATCTGGAGATGGGGTGCGAGCAGTGGAAGAGAGAGCAGTATGTCCAGTTCTCTCAGAATTGTGATTCTATCTGCTTCACCACCACCAGGGGCCAGTCTCTTGCTGTAATAAAGGTCAGCATTACCATGTACCTTAGCCCTCTGGACATGACAGTATATTCATTGTAGACCCGTTGCCAAGAGGTTCCATGATTCTTATCAGCCCTGACCGTGTGTATTTTGATTTTACAAAATTAGTAAAAATCAATATGCCGTTTGAACTGCTGTTCTGAAGGAAATCTCAGATATGTTATCTGGGAATCTGAGACATTTACATAGAATTGCTTTGCCTTCTTTAACCATTTTGGGTGTTAGAACTTGCATATTCATTCAGCACAAATGAGAG